TTTAAATACATCATACACACCAGAGATGCTATTTATTTATTGACAAAATCCATCCTCCTTTCTTTGCTCAGGAGGACTTCAATGACTGTCAGAGGTGATCTCTGCGTTTCACTTCCATCAGTAAGTCCTTTTCTATAGCCATGGAGGCCAAGGCTGCGAGTTGAGTGAAAATTGATTTTTAAGTATGTCCGAGACAAAGTCAATTTCTCAGCCATTGTGGGCGTAAAAAAATTCTAACTCAAATGTATTAATGTGTGCAGATCACTACAGACTTGTTTTGCTAGTCAAACTTGGCTGCAACAGTTTTGCTCTGACCAACCAATCAGAGGACAGAAAAATGCTGACATCATTGTGGGTCAGCTAGCTGGCCCTGTGAGGCGAATTTGAAATCTGATTGGTTAAAGAAACAGTCCCATTGCTAACATAGTTTAAGTTACATGGGCCAGCACTTCTGATTCTGAAGGCCCTGGGCAGATTAGATTGACATGGCAACACATAGAGGCTGAAATCTGATTGGACCAAAAAATCTAACATCCACATACACGTATTGGAAGAAGTGCAGGCAAGAGAAACGCTACGAAATGAAGAGAATAGACTGTTAGGAATAAATTAATACAATTTCATGGAACAAATATTAGAATAAGCTGTAAATGTAGGTCAGTGCTTCCAATAGTGTTTAGGCCAGCAGAGAAGGCCTCGCTGGCCCTGACGGCTCAGCACTGGTGGAAGGTACACTACCCTAAAAACTGACTCTGCTGGTATAGGGATTTTCCATCTTTCCCCAATGTCTGGCAGGTGGCTGGTTTGGAGTGACTGCAAAAGAATGAAGGTTTACTTTTTTTTTAGACCTCATTTGATTTCATTAATAAACAGTCAAACAACAAACTTGCCTGTCTCAATTGATTCTGTCAAGAATCCAACTAACATTCTGGAGGCTTACCGTCTGTATGGATGATTGGTGTCATTCCACAGCCAGATCATCTGTTTGAGGACTGCCTAAAGGTGGAATGGCAAAAGACAGAATTTAACGCATGACATCCTTGTTAATTTCACCCCATCATGTTATAGTTTTACAGGCTTGCTTCATAAAGTCTTTTAGCCTCTCTTTAGAGGGGCACAGTATTTGTACCTGGGCAATTATTCATGAAAAATTCCAGGAAAAGGCAAGACTTGATTTTGTCCCTCTGGTGGTCAGACAGGTTCATTACCATCAAACAGAACATTGGTTAATTGCCATTTACTGTTTGCCCTCATATTCAAACATTATACAAATGTTTAGCAATAATTTAATCTGCAGTTGTAAAGCACCCCTGTCATGAAAGTTCATAGATTTAAGCAATACTAAACTGGAGGAACTTTTAAAAAAACTATCCACAACAATAAGCACTTGTTTAACAGAACATATTTAATGTTCTGAATAACATAGTATTAGTCACCATCTGAATGGTTGTCAAGATCAGCTATATTACTGATCTACAGTGTGAGCCCATGAAGTTTTGGGATCTCTTCTTCTCTGGTTTGTGTAGCTCTGAGTTCTGGATGTGACGTCTTCCTTAGGTCCTGTTAAAACAAGGTGGTTGCCACAAAGAGGACAGGTAGGACTGGGGATAAATAGGAACTTAATACTGGGTGTGTATATACACCGATCAGGCATAACATTATGACCACCTGTACATCTGTATGCACTTCAATGCAACACTTTTGCCTTAGCATTTGTTGAAGAAGCTCAAAATGTTAAAGTTTTGGTGAGATTGTCAAATGTATAAATTCAATTATATGAGGTCATAGTTAAAGGTGGTGCTGTACTGGACCACAAATGAAATTAATCAAATTGAGAAAAAAAAAAAAAACATACCAGTAATAACCCTATTGAGTCAATCACTGCACTATCAGCAATGTCAATAAAAATTCTGTGTGGGTGTAGGAGTGAAGGCAAGTCTATAGGGTCATCAGGCGGGCCCCCTCTCACCAACTGGTTTTGTTGAGTTGGGCCCACAACACCGAGAAGGCTCAACACTGTGTTCCAATGTCCCAACCACACCCAACATGACCCTCCACCAATATCTGCTCAATAGTCTGACAAACCCCTCAAATAACAACCAATAACTTACAGCTGACTGTTAGCAACATGATGTTTCACCATCAAACATGACAACAGCCAAATTACTACTTTTTGCAACCAACTGTATCTACCCTGATAATCACTAACAAACCAGACAAAACATTTAATCTCATGTTAGCTTAGTAATGCTAGTAGGCCTCACGGATCAAACATTTGTGAACAAGCCCATGCTCCTGTGCCACTTTGCCAAAATTCAAAAGTCGAGCTACACACATAGTGTTAGAACTTACAATTCAGTCTGCTCTACTAGTTTTACACTTACCTATATTTGCCCCCATTTCTTCTCCTCCAGAGCCTTTCATTTGAAAAAGCTGCAACCTGTCCTTGGTTTTAAACTGCTTGCCTTAGGCTCTGTCCTTTTATACCCAACTCACCTAGCAGCAGAAAAAATAGACCTACCAATAAATCCTCCAGCCAGCCTTTACTGGGCAGCTCTTAGCTTTCCAGCCACACCTCTCTGCCTCTGTGTATTTGAGTTTTTCCTTCTCATAAGCCATTTCGACAACATCCTCCAGGGCAATTGTAAGCACCACAAAATACACAGTGTCTTATGTTTCTGATCACAACATATGATCTGGTCTTCAATTAGTGCTGTCTATCTTCTGGGTAACTATGAGTCGATTTCCTAAATCTGCCAATCTTTAGCAGCCTGTACCTGCCCTGCATCGTGCCTGATGCCCTTTTCACCCCTATAAAGAAAATCCCCTTGTTTCTTTTTCTCCTCCACTGAGTTGACCTCCAAGTGCCTATTCCTACTCAGAATCTCACAAAATACACTCACCGGCCACTTTATTAGGTACACCTGTACAATTGTATGCACTTCATTGCAATGCTTCTGTCTTAACATTTGTGTTTATGAAGCTCAAAATGTTTCATCTTTGGTGAAATTGTCATAAATGTATAAATTCAATTATACATTTATTGCAGTCATAGTTCAAGGTGTTGTTGTACTGGACCACATTATATTTAGAGGTGTCGATATTTTCATCTTTCCAAGCTACATACATGGGAGGGTTAGAATATTAGGAACACCCCTGAATAGTCCAGTAAAACACCATCTTTAAGTGACTTCAATAATAAACAAATGAATTTGTACATTTGTGATAACTAACCCAAAAGCAAAACTTTAAACATACGTTAAGGCAGAAGTGATGCACTGAACTGCATACAACTGTACAGGTGTACCAATAAAGTGGCAGGTGAGTGTATACTAAACCGATTTTTTTTTTTTTTTTTTACAATGAAAGTGTAAATTGCCTTCATTTGAAGAGCACATCTGACGGGGTGTTTAACATTTTCTACACAATATCTGACCGTCAGTGAATTAACCTCACATATGTGTGTGGACCCCCTCAGTCACTAATCTCTCTTCAAATAAACATTACAAGACTCCATTACCTGCAGCTCTATACCGTCATATATCTCCATTAATTATCTACATGGTCAATAAAACAGCTTTCTTTAAAGCGAAGTTACTTACTGATAGTGTTTTTGATAATTAAATCCTGACATTACTTCCACTGTCAAAACCTGACGATGTTGTGAATCCGAGTCGAAGTTGAACAAAACCTTAATTGATGATGGCGACTAGCAAGGGACACTTTGTCTTGACGTCAATCTAAATGCAGGCTGCAAAGTTTGCAAATGTTCCGCTACCAAGTTAGGCTGATTTTGTAGTTTAATTACGGCTTGATAAATATAAACAGATAAGAAAAGGAACTACAACATGGAACCAACCTACCACTTTGCTGCCAAAATACACAAGCACAACTTAAAAGTTCATGTGACATTAGACAAGTATTAGCAAATTAACATTACAAACAATCAATTTAACCTAAGCATGATCAATTTTAAGACCTAGTAAGATAAAATTTAAAACTTAAGCCCTAAAATTAAGGTTATTGGATTTTAGGAAGCGCAAAATCCCTGAAACTCTAGGCTAACTGATTCTTAACCACACATGGAACCAATTAGCGGCCACACCCATAGCATACCTTCAGCTAGAAAGGCTTCTTGTTAGGAGAGTTTAGCTAACGTTCTACATTAACATCCAATCCTTCTGAATTCTTATTTATTTGTTTGTTCGACTGCTTTACCTCAGAATAACAGATAAACACCTGCGTGCTGCATACATAGAAAACACTGCACCAAAAAGTTTACTATGATTTTCCCCTGCCACTCACCTGTGTTGCAAAGAGCCCGCGCCATCATTTGTTGCCATCTTCTTCTGCTGCTTCCACTTCTTCTTCTACTTCGTATTATTGTGGCTGGTAAACAACAAAATGGTGCATTACCGCCACCAACTGGATAGGAATGTGCATCTGAAATACCCGCAGTCATTCTACGATATTATATAGTCCACTATATCTGCAGCGGAGACAAGCCATGTGACACCCAACTGTCCTCTGATTGGACAGTTTGACTTTGCGCTTGGATTATCAGAGTTGTGCGTGCTGCTTTCTATATGTACACAGATGGGCACAAAACGTACTTCTTTTCAGTGTCTTTATGTAACAATTTGTTTGCAGTTTTTATTCACACATTCAAAACGTTTTACAAGTACAAATGCTTTCTACACATTTAAAATGTTTATACAATTAAAAGGCCTTTCTACACATATTCAAAACCTTTTTTACAAGCTCAAAATCCTTGACCTTCTATACTGAACCCAGAGTTTTAGGACCAGATATGTGCAAAAATAATTGGCCTCCAATGTACTTTGTGTATAGTGATAATTAGCATTTCTAGCATGGAAACATGCTCAACTAAGATAGTGAACATTATTATATTTGCTAAAATTGAGTATGTTCACATGCTGATGTTAGGACAGTAGTTAAGTACAGCTTCACAGAACTGCTAGTTCTTTTGACTCCATGCAATTATGGATATATTCATATAAATAATACTATTTTTAAGCTGATTCATTTTACAAAGCAAAAAAGAAGAAGCAGTTGACTTTCCAAACTTTATTATAGGAAGAATAGACTGTGTTAGTATGTAAAGAAGACATTCCCACAAACTCTTCCCTAAATCTAAACACTGTAACATAATATACAAAAGATATACATGATATATATGATGGGGCTCTACATCTCTGACGAGCAGTCACCAGCCACATCAACCTGACCAGTGTTTGATTGTTGTGTCTTGTTGCTTTTCTTCTTTTGTCTCTCCTCTATCCACTCACCCCAACCGGTCGAGGCAGAAGGCCGCCCACCAAGAGCCGGGGTCTGTCGGAGGTTTCTTCCGTTAAAGGGAGTTTTTCCTCCCCACTGTCGCCAAGTGCTTGCTCAAGGGGGATTTGTTGGGTTTTCCCTATGTAATAATATTGATAACAGTAAGGTCTAGACCTTACTTTGTAAAGTGTCCTGAGATGACCTTTGTTGTGATTTGGCGCTATACAAATAAAATTTGATATACAATATAACGTGTAAAGGAAAAGGGCACCCTAAGACTCTTATTGTCAGGTGCAAAGCAGTGTTCAGGAGGCTTGTTACTGTACATGTATGCCTTTATTAGGACTCATTGAAATCCTTTGATTATGCAAAAGTTTTGCAAAGTCTGTCCATATTCTAAGGCTCACTTAGACCTACAGCATAGCCCTGGTTCTAGCCTGGTCATTGGCTAACTTGGTAATGTATATAATCTCACAAGGGTGAGCATTCCTGATTATTTCCTGTTTAATCCCTCTTCTCTGTGTCCACTCTTCTTGACACATACACTGGCAGACACTGTGACGCAGGTGTCACCCTAGCTCTGCACCAAAGAGATCCAGATTTAGATGATTGAAATCCGACATGACAAAGTCCAGTTCCAACGGTGCCACTGCATCTAAAAATATATATAAAGCATCAAGTATACAAATAAATGCATTTGACACAATCAATCATGAGTTATTAATGGATAAGTTAGAAAAATATGGGATCAGAGGAATGGTTCTGAAATGGATTAGAAGTTATTTGACACAGAGGCGTCAATTTGTGAAGTTGGGTGAATACCAATCGAGTGAGCTGGATATTGTATGTGGAGTGCCTCAGGGTTCTGTTTTGGGACCTAAACTATTTATATTATACATCAATGATATATGTAAGGTT